TTTTTGTATCATTGACACTTATAAATTTACAGGTGATCATGTATTGTGTTACATTATATTTCTGAAAAATTTAAGGGTAGTTATATAATAATTTTGAACGATTTCAGGCGGTCAGATACTTATGACCGCTACTGTATATTATTATAAAAGTAACAAAATCTAGCTTTAAAGTAATGTAACGTCTAAAAAGCTTTTACTAGTATATTTTTATTAAAAAATCCTTTAAATCTAGCTATATATTTATTTCTTGATTTTAATTTTTCAACTGAAGTATTTATATAAGCATATCTAATAACTTATCTATTAATATTATAAGTTTATGTAAAATTCATCTGTTTTAATTTATTAAATTTAGTGAAAGATATAATTATATCACATGATAAATTGTAACAATTTCTAAATTTATCTTTAATATTTTTGATAATACCGTAGTATAAAAGGTATAGTGAATATGTTATTATATAATATGAAATAAAACAGATTTAAATTTAAAGATAGGTGTATTATTGATAATACAAGAAAAATTCTATTCACTTTGATATTAAAAGAAATATTTAGCTGTTGTAATATAACTTTATTTACTGTTTTTAAGAGAAGTTTTCTATTATTAAACTTAATAAAGATTTGTATATTATCATTATGAAAATGTTAATCAATATTAATAAAGCCTGGTTGATGTTCAAAAATAATATGCAGTAAATTTAATTTATCATTTCTATTTTCTCTATTCATAGAAATACAAGTATTAAGGTGAATATGTGATCTTTATTATAAGATATTATTATATAAAAGATATTTTTGATTGAATAGTTTTTGGTAATTTAGTATTTATTTTTATTTTCTTTCTAGGTTTGTATAATAATATGTCTAAAGATTAAGATTGTTTATTTTTTAACGTATTAATTTGTTTATTTATCAATTTTAACGTATTATTATAACTATTATTTGTTGATTTAACATATTATTTATGTAAATTGAAGATGATAGATAAAGTAAGAGATGAAGATAATATAAAGAAAAAGAGTAAAATAGAAAGGCGATTATGTTTAATATTATCTTTATCTATTTGCATATTATCATTGTTAAGAGTATCTATATTTTGAGCAAATTCTTCATCATCTAATAAAAACAATATCTTCATTTTTTTGAGTTATGTTAATATTGACAAAGTGTTAACAATTAAATCTTATTCTATAATCATCTATATTAGTTTTATGAATAACATAAGAAGTTATTTAAGTAATATTTTAATAAAATTATTATTAAGAAAGTTGTTTTGTAAAGTAATATCTTCTGAAAAGGTTTATCATATTTCATATTGAAATAGAAGACAAGTTAAAAATTTTAGGTATTTGAAAAGATAGAAACTCTACAATACAATATCTCTTTTTTTTAATTTTAGTATTTTAAGAACTCTCAAATTTTAAAATTCTTGAAGATCTTATATAAATTTTTGAAGGTGTCAAGAGTAACATTAGACATGTTTTTAATAAAAGATAATAGTAAAATAAAAGTTTTCTTTGAAAAATAATTTTTGTTTTTCATATTTTTTTTTATCATTTAATTATGGTAATTTTACTATACAATATAAAAACATACAATCAGGTAAAAGTAGGTTATGTAATTAGGTTATAATGTGATAATTAGGTTATATTTAGTAGGTTATATTGTGATAATTAGGTTATATTATAACACTCAGATTATATTGTGATAATTAGATCATATAAATGTTACCTAGGTTATATTGTGATAATTAGATCATATATATGTTACCTAGGTTATATTGTGTATCAATAACCTATTCTAAGTGGTATAACACACTTTAATATAATTATATTAAAGTGTAGTATACCACGCACAACATATTCAGCTTTAAAATTACATCCATAAAAAGAGTAAAAAAAAAAATTTAACTATTTAATTGTAAAATTAATTTTTAAATTATGTAAATTATTAAATTTTGATGTTGATTACAAATAACAAAATCCTTTTGCATTATGACGCGTATTGATGCTTTTTTTTTATCGTCATAAGATTACTTTTAAACGCGCCATTTATTTAATTTTCTAATTTTTTAATTAAATATCCTGAAGAATATAAAAAAAAACTATATATAATCTAATGTTTAAAGAAATATTTTTTTGCCAAAGTCCATGTCCCTGCAGTAGCTGCACAAATTGCTGAAGCAGTACCTGCTGCTCTCAAACCAGCTAATGATTAAATAATATTATAATCAAATTATATAAATTAATTAAATACAAGAATTCATGAAGAAATACCTGTAGATTTAAAGAGCAACCCTACTAAAGCCCCAGATGCGATATTATTTACTGAGTCATGTCTCCCTCTTATATTGCCAATAATACCATTAATGCTATTATATCCCATGGCTAATATTAACGGAGCATTAAAAGCAATCAGAAAATAGACGAAAAAAAAATTTAAAAATTCAATTAATTTATTCAACTTGCCAAGAATTCCACAAGAATTTCCAAGGAATGGTCCTCGTCGAGTAACAGAATTAAGGACTATGTTTAAACGTAATTTGAAATTAGGTGAAGGTCCACGTAAACCCTCCATTAAACCCCATGCACCACCAAATGTTAATCCTACAAAATAGACAAAGAACCTGATTACAAAATCATAAAAAAAAAAAAAGAATAAAAGAGATCACTCAAGCCGTACCAGCCAAATATGTTGTCCCTGTACCATAACATAGGTCATCTAACGTTCCTCGACTAGGAAGGGCTCCCGGTGTGACTACTTGCTCATCAATTTTCAAATAATCTACCGCGCCAAGGCCAGCGATTTCTCTTAGTTGGGATGGTCCTAAATTCACCCTTGCTAAAAAATCTGATACTGCCACGGGGTCTGTGCTAAATTGATTTGGTGAAGATTGGTAAAGTCTATCATCATAATGGGAAGTATCTTGAGTAAAGGACATTTTACGCGAAAAACTTTTTTCAAAAAAAATTTTTTTTTTAATGGTGGCTTATTCAACATCAAAATCTTTATTTTATCAGTCATATGACAACTTTGAAAGATATGTCATATGATTGTTGCTCTTTTAGAAAATTCTAGAATAATTTCATAAATTCCAGAAACAACAAAAAGTAAGTAATCCAACGAATCATTCTCTTCTCCAACTGTAAAAATCGATCCAAATCGATCGGAAAATATTCCGGAAATTTCGAAATCGCACATGAACACAATTTTTCTTTCACTAAAAAAAAAAAACACAACGTCACTTGGATTACATCAAACAAAATTAGAAAAATTACTAAGCCGCTAAAAAAAATTCTTTTTTTTGTTGCTGCTTGTAATGATTAAAAGAGGGCCAGCGAGCCCAAGTCTTTATATCTTTTTATATACATAATATTATTATGGAACTAGATGCTTCAGACTCTTTAAAGGGGAAGGAAATTCATGATACCAATGATGGATCTCTTACAGTAAGTTTCTCAACAAAAAAAAAACTTTTCACTTTGCTTGAAACAAAGTTTTTTTTGATGTCAGTAAAATTAACCTTTGAAAAAATGAGCAAAAATGCAAAAAGAGTTTATTTACTCAGTCGAACAGTTTTAAAGCTCAATATATTGATTATTTTTAAAGAATTATAACTGCGGAAAATTACTGTCGTTCCGCTATCACGTGACTTACTTAAGAACTTGACTAAATATTTTGTCTTAATAATTTCCTAATTTAGTTGCAAATAAAGGAACTTCGTATAAGGGCAGAAGAAGTTAGAAGACAAGAGTTAAAGTAATTTCGCGTAAAGCTTGATTTTCATGAATTTTAAGTAGATACATTGCTTATAAGATATAAATTATTTTTTTTTTTAAATAGAAAACTACTTGTTAGGCACAAATCCACATTGGAACATTTATTTTATATGAATATGTTAAGTAAATCTGGTGGTACAGACACATATACAGAGACAGAAACGGAAGTAGAGAAATATATAGAAATAATTGATACTTCGAAAGTCGATTATTCAAATCAATTGGAAGATTTTTTGCAAAGTCATAAATTAGGAGAAAAAAATTTAGAGGTCGATAAAAGGTTGGTGTCACATCCGTGGGAAAATATAGTTATTGGTGGCTTTTATGGATCATGTATTTTGTGAAACAACATAAAATTTTATGATAATCAAATTAGTAAATTTTCAATTTCTCTCGTTAGTTCAACGAAAATTGCTTCTATTGATAACGCTACAACTCAAACTGCAAATACCACCGAAAACCTTCAACATTCTCAGCAAATAAACGTTCAGTCACAAACACAAGGTGACCAAACTATACAAACAAAGAAAAAGAGGGCCTCAATACCAACTACGGAAAGAATGATAACTAGAGCTGCAAGCGGTGCAATAAATCCGAAGACCGTGGAAGAAATACTAAAGGAAGCGGAGGTATGCATAAAATTCCTTTCCTAATTTCTTTTATTAAGGTTTCTATTTAATGTATCACTACCACCACCTTTATTTTTTTATAAAATACGGCAGCGTGGAAGCAGTCTCTCGTCGTCTTTGACTTCGCCAACTTCAACAACAACTCCCAGAATACCAATAAGATTAAATATACCACAGAGGAAACAATCACTTCATCGAACAAATAATAACATTTTGTTGTCGGAAGGAAGACTTTCAAGTTCTACGGGACGAATTGATGCGAATCTATCTCGATCTTTTGATAGAGAAACGATTATAATAAATTTTAACAATAACCCAGTATATAAGTCATTACAACCTCCAAAAAAGGCTATTACAACTTCGGAATGGAGGGTAATTATATACCACAGAATTTTATCGATTGAACTTTGATCATTTCTAAATTTTGTCAAAAATAAACAAGGTCGCTATTGAAGAAGTTAAATATGCTCGAGTAATAGAGCGCATTGAGGAATTAAAGCGATTAGGACTCTGGAGCCGTAAACAAATTGAGCCATTCAGAGATCCACCAAGATACAAGACTCACTGGGATTATTTACTTGAAGAGATGGTATGTAATATTTTGAAATAGTTTATTAAAGTTTTCTCTTATTTGAAGTTTGATAAATTTAGGTTTGGATGCGAACTGACTTTAGAGAAGAAAGGAAACAAAAAATAAAAACTGCATATGTGTTAGCATTAGCAGTTCAAGATTGGCATATGGCAGAAGATAAGTCAACTGTATGCGTGAAGGTAAGAACCTATTATTTAGTAATATGTTTTTATAATTAAATTTCAAAATTGCCCATCCTTACTACAGAGGCGTATCCCTAAACAACGGTCTTTGTCATCGCCACCATCTTATACTTTGAGCGAAATAGATCATTTTATGGGTATTTAAGTCGTTATTTTCATGACTTGCTTTTACTATTAATTATAGTAGTTAATTAATTTTATCACATCAGATATTGATGATCGCATATTGATTAAAAGCGAGCCAGAAGACTATAATACAAATGTATATTTATCACATGATAACAAATGGTCATCGTCCACGGATGACGTAATGATAGATGTTGAATCTGTTGATGATGACTCATCATCAAGAATTGATGCCAACCAAGAAAATCTGAAGGACAATGATTCAATTAAAATGCCACCCCCAATAGCACCTCATGTCTTACAAAGCTTACGGCAAAAAGTGTTTAATTTACCACAGGATACACTTATATGTCGTTTAGAAGGATCTGATCAGCAAATATATGAGGTGGACTCAATATTTCCAGATTTACCCGTTTATGGTCCACCTGTACCTTCTGAAAATGATATCTATTTTGATGAAATTCATTGTTATAAAATTATGCCAATTTCAAAATGCTTGTGGCGAAAACCTCCGAAAGGTAAAATTTTTTTTTAAAAAAGAATAAACGATAAAAATATGCTAAAGCATCAAGATGATTTTATAGAAAAATCTAATAAGAGACGTTATGAGAACGAAGATCAACAACAATCAAAGAGAATTAAATTGGAAAACGAAGAGGAGACGAATGAAAGCCAATACGAGGAATCAATTCGTGAGCTCCTATTATTTGTATAATTATTTTTATCATATGTGGTTTACAATTCTAAATTCATATTATTATTTTAGTGTTTACGTCTCATATATCATTCGAGAAACAAGTTCAGATTCGCGTAACTGCACCAAAGAAGGATCAAGACCCAACAGCAGTTTGGTATACTGAAGATGACGAGTTGTTGATGTCCTTAACAAAGAAATATCAATATAATTGGGATTTGATAGCTGATGCGTGGAATTCATCTCGAGGTTTAACTACTGGTTATGAAAGGTCTCCTTGGGAATGTTATTTACGCTGGACTCAAAAAGACGACATGTCTCAATTTATTATAAACCATGATAATGAAAGTAGTGTAAATGAAGAGTCAGCTGTAGAGACATTAACTGATAACATTAATGATGCAGTAGCTTTATCGTCGTATATTTCAGGTTCTTCTACATTGTTAAATGTGAGACAAAAACGAGACAGTCTGAAGAATATTCAAAAGCGGGACATTACAAAACCTCGTAGACACTCTAATTTAGCTGAGGCTATGAAAAAGGCCGCAAAGAAACGAGCGGATTCAAATCAAAAGCAATGTGTGCATTATACGCGTTATGATCCATTCATTTAATCATATATTTTTAAATACTAACAGCCAATTTAATTTGAACATAGTACAAAATAGGAAAAATCATGACCAGCCGACCCCTATTAATCATCATGTAATGACACCGATTGAACTTAGTAAACTGAAATCCGATCAAGAACGTCAACTTCAAACAGCATTACTGGAACAACGTCAAGCTGCAGTACTCGCTTTCCAAAGTCATTCAAGGGTATGTAATTTAAAATTTTATTTTTATTTTTATTTTTTTTATTTTCTGAATCTTATATTAATTCTTTGTTCTTAATATCTTTTGTTTTAGACACCTATGATCGTGAGACCACCACAAGCTAACCCAGGATTGTCATATCTTGCCACACAAACAAGACCTCAAGTAGGAATGGTTGCAAATAACTTACAAGCTTTGGCTTTACAGCAACGTGCAGCAGTGATGCATCGTATTCATCCACAACAGATGACCATGCAACAGGCACAAGCTCAATTTTATAATAATCAGCTCCGAGCACGAATATTGCAAGGAGCTCATGCACCTGTCATACAAAATACACATTTAGTTCAACAGCAACTCGCTCATCAGCAGCAACAAGCTAGACAGCAAGCGCAGATACCCCAACAGCCTGCCCAACAAACGCAAGCCAATGTGGGCGGTTTATCACAATCTCAACAACCAACTTCACAACCTTAGGTCAGAATAGGTATATTGCGTTTAAATAAATAATAATATAAATATATATAAGGAAGGTGAAGCAGCTTTTTATGCTGAAAAGTATTTTTCTATATTATGTGTTAATATCACATTTTTATATAATATATAATGCTGTGGATATTCATTATTGAAATACTCTAGAATGTAGATTCAATATTCGATTAGATAATGGATTTTCTATCTTCTACGACTTGAAACCATCATTTAAGTATACTTAATTATCCCTACGTAATATATTATTTTATTTTTATTTTTATTTTATTTTATTTCTTTTTTTTTTATGAATTTAATATTAAAACATTTGTACATAATAAATATTACAACCACCTTCCAACATAATTCTAAAGTTTGTAACTCCAAATTTTGGACTTATGTTTACTCTTTTTTGTATTTTGTATTCGGTAAAATTAAGGATTCATATGGTTTTTCCAGGTATAGACATTTCTATCTTGGTCTCAGATTTTAAAATTAATAACTACTGGACTGATTCATATATTACTATCGGTTTTATTATCAGTTTATTATAACCATACCGTTTTTCTTCTTACTAAACAAGTGAGGTTGAATGAATACTCTTGTATAATAGTATATCAAAGTATGATTAAATCAATATTCTTAAATATGA